CCATAACTGCTTTGGTAGTTATTAATATTTTATGATATACACAGTGAATTTCCTTCAACTAATGTTAATAATTTTGCTTTTAGAAACTGTTGCTTGTTGAAGTATATCCTCGATAGGTATAAATTAAATATTTATGGATTGCCATAAAATGTCTTTTTATTCTCGCTCTTGAAAAACATTTTAGCTAGTTATTTTTCTTTAACTATTTAAAGATGTCTATCTGATAGCTACGTGAGAGCTGTGTTATCAGTATAATTATTGTGCCTCTCTTTGTAGCCCTGGGAGCATAAGACTAATTTTGTCATCAAGAATATTTCTATTGATGAATTATTAATTTTAATTTTATGAGTTTTCTTATATTAAACATTAAATACTTAACAGGAAAAAAATCACAAAAATAAAGCATTGAGTTTTTGATATTTATTATTTATAAAAAAGCATCAGAATTTTCAACATTGATGGGCTTTTGGTATACAAAGTCTAAAAAAGAACATCAGAAATAAATCCCTATATGAACTACAATGAAAAATCAATGACATTCTACTAAAAAAAAACTACTTCAATTATCACACCTAAGCCAGTGTGTACTTGAGCCAACTGCATGGTCCACACACACGTGTTGCTTACACTGCCAGTGTGTGTCTCTTGCAACCCTGGCCTTTTTGTAGGACACAATTGACATCTCAAAAAAAAAAAAAAATAAATTAACATCTCAGTGGTCTTGCTGTTTTGTCAGGGCTTCTTATTACATTATACAGTGTATAGGTGATAGGAATATAAAATGTGAATAAAATAAATTATTAAATTCTTAATGTATATTTTGTGCCTAGAATAGACATCAAATTTTTCTTTTTTGATACTGGGACCCACATCTCACTCACACTGACAGCACATAGGTCTAGTTTTTCTTTCCTATGTGGCAGTCTTATTTCCCCTCTTCCTGTTTTGTCAGGAGCTTCCTTCTATATTGTGTAACATGCAGGTAGCAGGCAAATAAGATGTCAATGAAATACAACGTCAAATATGTAACGAGTGCTTAGAATGGACATCAACATTTTCACATCAGCTGTTTATTTGCTTACAAAACCTTAAGATAACATCAAAAATAAAAACCTGCTGGGGAGATGGCTCAGTAGAATAAGTACTCACTGGCAATCACAAGGGCCTGAGTTCAATCCCCCTTCCACCAAAAAATAAATAGATAAAAAATAAAAACCTATGTAAACTACAGGGTAAACACAAAAGTCTACCACAGAAGTAAGCCTTGCTTCCACTGTAACCCCCAAGGCAGTCTTCACACATAACAACTGCATATTCCATACATAAATATCATTTATACTGGTAGCATGTATGTTTAGTTTTCTTGTACTTTCTTGTAGGGCATAGTTTACAGCTTTTTGGTTTTCCTGTTGTCATTGTAGGTGTTTGTGATACTGTGCCTGCCTGTTCATCTGTCAGCTCCAGTGTGCTCCACAGTTTGTTTTTTTTTACATAGTTCCCTGTGCAGAAATATTTTGTGTTTTCTCTGCTATAAATAATCTCTTATGAGCCCAGTCCCAATTCTCTAAGAAAACCTCTGTGCAATATTTTGCACTGGTCATTTCCTTTGTAAACTATTGAACTATGCCACCCATGTTTAGGATCTAGTAAAACACAACTATTGATCAATGCTTTATGGTTTTTGTTTTTTGAAATTTATGTATTTGGTACAGGGTCTCACTATGCAGCTTGGTCCTCCTGTTTTCATGCTGATCCTCCTGTTTTCAGCCTTCCCAGGGCTGGGATTATAGGTGTGTGCTACCATGTGCAGACTCAGTGGTTGGCTCAGTGTGCCCAGGGGTGGGGCCTGTGCGGAATGTGGTGCCTGGGATCGAACCCCAGTCCCTGAGCTTGCCTAGGCAGGCACTTAATCCACTGAGCTATCTCATTGGCTCATTTTTTGTTTTAGGAGACATCATAGTTCCTGCATAACTCTTCAGCAATATCCCCTCCACCTTTGGTTTTGATGTTGAGTGTTTCCATCTTGGGCTTCTGTTTTGTTGAGATTTCCCTACCAGTATTTCCATCATGGTGAAATGTTGACATCAGCGGTACCAGTTTGCTTTTTAGGCCAATGTTATATCTTTCTGAAATTTAAACATTATATTATATAATTCTCTATTTTGAAATTGAAACATTTCATTTGGAATTTCTGCTTTGTTCTTGTGTACAATTCCTGTGGTGATCAACTTGTTCTCTGTTAGCAAATATAGCATCAATTAGAAAGTGTCAAACCAGTTGTCTAATGTCATGTTCTGATTAGTTTGAGAGATGGAAGCAAAAGGCCCATTATAACATCATTTGGCTTATTACTATATGAATAAAGACCTGATGGTTGAGTATCTGATGAACAAACGTCAAAATTGAAAAGTAATAAGTCTTCTCATCTGCAAGGGCATAAATTATTATGCCA